GTTACATTGTATTTGTGAGGCTGTTCCGCTAAGTGAAGGGACTCTAGCCAGCCCCGGCCTGGAAAACATAGCTCTGGCAGGTCTTGCCCTTCTCTCCATTCCCTCTACCTTCAAAAGAAAAAACAAAAAAACAAAAAAACAAAAAGCAAAAACCATTAGATGAAAAAAAAAGATGGAAAAATAAACCCATTAGATGACATTCCTAATGCTAGCCACCAAGGTCTACTCCCTTATTTGGCCACTTCCTCCTCCTGAGGCTGACTACCAAGGTCCAATTATCAAAGCATTGAAGTCCAGCAATCAAAGCCCCCTTTGGCTCACCTAATTAACATGCCTAATTAAAGTTAAACACCTTCCCCTTTTGCCTTTATAAACTGTCATTTGCCTGTGTGTCATGTCTGTCTCCTCTCTATCCAGAGGCAGTCCTCTGTCCCTGTGGGGCAAATCTCCCCTCTCCCTCATCCTCTACTCCCTGTCTTTGTTTCTTATTTTCTGCCCTCTGTGGCAAATGAATCTCCTTTGTGCTGAGAACTTGGTCTTGGAGTGTCCTGAGCCGATACCAATCCTTTCAAGTAACCCCTGCCAGTAACTTCATTAAAACTCATTGCTTTGACATTGGGGGTATTCATACTCTGGTCAGTCATGGGCTTTCTATCTGGGGTGAGCAGATGTGTGTGTTGCATCTCCCTAAAACAGTTTCGTCACACAACATAATTGGCATGAACAGGGACATGACAGAACCAAAGATGAGTTGGGGAGGAATGAATGCATGGTCCTGACTGTGTAGCAAGACGTGAAGCTGAGGCTGAGGAGCCTGAGTGGGGAGAATCTGTGGAGGAAATTCCGATACAGTTGTTGTTTCCTGTATGGTGTGTGTTAGTGTGTCTTTGTGCTACGCCCGAAGTTGCATGGTTCTTGCGCAGTGAGACGTGTAACTAACCCTGAGCCATCAGGATGAGGAGTGTCTGTGGGAGGAGTCCCGGGATGGCAGTCTCCATCTATAGGGTAAGGGGTGACAGATGAATACAGAGACTCCTAAAAACAGCAGAAGCTTTAGAGACTTTATAGTCCGGGAGATTAACACACAATCAGTGGCAGAGGTTGCTTGGCCATGGAGGTGTGCATACAGAAATGCATCCGAGGCTGAGATGGTGGCCAAGCAGAAACTTATGTAAAGGAGCAACTAGAAAGGAGATGAGGCTGGCATCCTCCGTGCTAGCCTCTGGCTTGGTAAGTGAATTAGATAAGGAAGAGGATGAGACGGATAAGGTTTGGGGGCTGGAAGGAAAAGAGAATGCAAGTTAGATCCATGCTCAAAAGCCCTTCCTGGGACCCAAGAACTCAGAAACTCAGAACCCATGGAAAGATTCAGAGAGTGCAAAAAACCAAAACTAAACCCAAGATAAAAGCAATAAAAGGAGCCAATCTTAGGAGAGCGAGATTGAGAGCGAGAGACAGAGAGACAGAGACAGAGACAGAGAGACAGAGACAGAAAGAGACAGAGACAGACAGAGACAGAGAGAGACCTGTGATCCACCCTGCAGGGGCGGCTAGCAATGATCTGGTAGAAGAAATCAGGATCATCAGAACATGCTCAGCGCTTGAACTGCTGGGTTAGGGAGGTTTAAAGGAACGATGAGAGAGCCTGTCTCAGCATGCTTGAGAGGCCTTGGGACATGGGAGCGGACAGGACCAGTCAGGAAACCGGAGTGAGGTAATTCCCATCCTTCTTAGGTAAATGCTACAGAATCTGAGATGGTGTGAGGGACGATGGCTTAGGAAAGCCCCTAGGAACACTTGATTATCTCTGTCTGCGGCCCCCTCAAATTCACCACAGAGGAGAGGCAGATGCTAGCAAGGGAACTAGGAACAAGAACTGTTTGAAGCCCAGTTCACTGGACCAGACAGAACTTTAACAGGAGTTAAAAGATTGATCCAGCAGGGACCTCAAGGCTAGGGTGGCCTTTAGTGGGCAAAGTTTTGTTTTGTTTTTTTTTTAGACAGGATTTCTCTGTGTAGCCCTGGCTGTCCTCAAACTCAGAGAGCCTCCTGCCTCAGTCTTCCAGGTGCTGGGATTAAAATGGACCATCACACCTGACTTTTATAAGTAAAAGGCGTTGACAGGTCTAAATGACAGACCACCATTTGAGAAGAACCTAAAGAAAGAAATCTGTCTGGGTTACTCAAAGACAAATGTGGCATGAGTTGTGTCAAACTGGAGTTCCTAAGGAAAAAAACTGACAGAGTCAATGTGTCCAAAGCAAAGTTCACACAGGCTCTTCACCAGTTCAATAGAACACAGAAGAAGACACTCAAGCCTGTCCCCCGGGGTGGCTGATATCCCCAGAGGAAGGAGGGAGGGAGGGGACCCCCCATCCCCACCAAGGATAGAGGTGATTTGTCCAGCCAGGAATTCTCCCAACAGTCAGGTATGGAAAGTGGGGGAGGGGAGGTGCCAAGAGCTACAGTGCCAGCCCAGGGCCACTCTGACCCAGAGAGCCCTCAGAGGCAGCGGGGACAGCAGAGCCACACTCACACGAGGCCATGAGTAGGTCTGAGCAGATTAAGTCAAGCTACTGAGTTCATTAGGTGTGGAGAGCTGCAGGGCATGGGAATGGCTAAGGATACTGGCACTAATTACGTTAGCACCTCCTATTTGAGCTTTGTACCCAGCTTTGATCTTTGGAGGAAGGGATTGATACAAATGGATGGAATCTCCAGTGGTGATTACGTCTAGTTGTGAACTTTTGGTGTCACCTGACACTTGCTGAATGGGTGACAGCCGACTTTCAGGTTAACTTTGTAAACCCACTATTTGTTATGGATATTTCCTTGTCCTGCCCGTCCTCTGGAAAAGGTTTTGTTAACAGATGACATAATGCTAGCCTCTGAGTGTTCTGCAGATTTGGGAAGCCACGGAGAGACACCCAGGTGTGATGGCACCACATGACCCCAGGCTAGATAAATGTTTAGCATTTAAAAAAAAAAGAACAAGAAAAAAAATCAAAGACAATGAAAATGGTAGCACCAAAAGGCACAGTAGTTGAAAGGGGTGACCTTTGACACCCTGAAGGCCGGGAGTGCTGGTGGAGCCTAGCTGTGGCTCAAGCATGTGGGTGGCTGAGGCCCCGGTGCAGAGCCTGAGGGGAGGGTGGAGCCTCGAAGCGTTGTGGCCTAAGGGGAGGGCTGTAGGTCACTGAGAGCATGACCACCAGAGCAACTGGGAGACCCCCGGCCTCTTCCCCACTTTCCCTTTTTGTGATCTGGTAACTTGGAGAGCAGCTTCCCTCCATAGTGCCCTGCCTGCCACGGTTCAGCTTTGCTCTAAACTAGAACAACAGAGCATGGGCTGGAATGCAAACTGGCCAGAGGAAACCTTTGCTAAGTTGATGTCAGTGATGTGCTTGCTACAGCAATGGAGAGCTCCTAGATCAGCCGCCCTCCAAATGCCAGGACGCCCCAGAATTCAGTCCAGTTTCCCCTCTAAGTCACGGCGTTTGTGGCCTGTCTGATTTCAAGACTTCAGTTACAATGCACATACTGATGAGTCCCAAGTTATTTCTGGCGTGGAACTCTCACACAAGCTTCAGTCACGCAGCCAGCGGCCTGTTTCAAGCTTCCCTGTTAGTGGAAGCCCTCAAGTCCAACATGTCCAGAACCATGCTCCTCTCCTCAGCCACTGCTGTTCAGGCACACCATTTCAACCTCCGCAACGTATGGCAGCTCCTCTCGCTCCAAACCAAAGACGTGCCAGACACAGCAACTACTCCTAACACTTGGGAAGCTAAAGCAAGGTGATCTCTGTGAGTTCCAGGCCAGGCTAAATTGCAGAGAGACTCTGTTTCAAGGGGGGTGCGCACACCAAAATACCAGCTGGGTACTGGTGGCACACATCTGTAATCACAATAATGAGGTGCTGGAAGGAGTTCAGGGTCATCCTCAGCTACATAGTGAGTTTGAAGCCAGCTCGGGCAACATGAGACCCTGTCAGAAAACAAAACCCACCAAAACAAAACCAATGGAATTCTCATTGGCTTCTCTCTTCTCGTCCCTCACCTGTGACCCATCAGCGAGCCCTGTCCATCCCAGGGGAGAGCCTGGGCAGCGCCCATCTCAAGTCATTGCAAACACCAATCTGCATTCTGCACGACAGTCCCGTTTCTGCTTTTACCCGAGGCCTTTGACTATGACTGCAGTGGCGACATCAAGTCACAAGATGCCACTTCAGAGTAAAAGGCCAGCCCTTCAAACATGCAATCTGACTTGTCACCTCCCCGACTTCCTCTTCCCCTTCGTACCTTTGTTCCAGCCACATTAGCCTCCTTGCTGCTTTTGGAGGGGGGAGGGTGGATGCCCCACCCCAGAGCCTTTGTCTTTTTTTTGTTTTGTTTTGTTTTTTAAAGATTTATTTATTTATTACATACAGTGTTCTGCCTACAAGCCGGAAGAGGGCACCAGACTGAATTGTAGATGGTTGTGAGCCACCATGTGGTTGCTGGGAATTGAACTCAGGACCCCTGGAAGAGCAGTCAGTGCTCTTAACCTCTGAGCCATCTCTCCAGCCCCTTGTTTTTGTTTTTTTATAGACAGGATTTCTGTGTAACAGCTTTGGCTCTCCTGGAACTCACTCTGTAGACCAGGCTGGCCTCGAACTCAGAGATCCACCTGCCTGTGCCTCCCGAGTACTGGGATTAGAGGTGTGGGCCACCACCACCTGGCACCTTTTTACTTCTGTAACTGACAGAGAAATGAACCCAATCAAGACCCCTAGACTATGCCCCCCTCTTCTGGACATATGTAATTTGGGGTGACAAAGCCAGTGCGAGATCTTCTTTTGTCCTTTGCTCTACCACTGTGGTGGCAAGGTGAGTATGGGCACAACACTGTCACCGAGTGACAGACAAACATCTTGTATAAAGATGTTTTGTTCCCAAGCTTTGCCTTCTCTGGCCCTGCTCATGTGGCCCACTGTTAGGAATGAGCATATCAGGATTACTCACGAGAATATCCGTATTTTCAAAATAACTCCTCCAGTATGGCCTGATTTTCCTCTGTCCGCCAATGTCCCATACGTTCAGCTTGAAACCTTGTGACTGTACACTTTTGATGTTAAAACCCTGAAACAGGAGAAACAAAATAAAACAAAACAAAAAGATCAATCAATTCTTAGAGTTGCATTTATTTTTTTTTAAAATAATTTATTTTTTTCTTATTTCATGTACATTGGCACTTTGCCTGCATGTATGTCTGTGTGAGGGTGTCAGATCTTGGAGTTACAGACAGTTGTTGTCTGCCATATGGGTGCTGGGAATCCAACCGAGGTCCTCTGGAAGGATAGTTAGTGCTCTTAACCACTGAGCCATCTCTCCAGCCCTAGAGTTGCATTTAATAGCTCACAAAAACTGGGGAGAGAATCTGGGGCTTCAGGTATACAACACACATGATGCACCACTAAATTACACTGCTAGATCTTATTTTATTTTCATTTTTCTGGGTTGTTAAGACAGGATTTCACTAAGCATCTCTGGCTGTCCTAGAACTCATTTATTTAGACAAGGCTGGTCTCAAACTCACAAAGATCTGCCTGTCTCTGTCTCTTTGTTTTTTTTTTTTTTGTTTTTTGTTTTTTTTTGTTGTTGTTTTTTCGAGACAGGGTTTCTCTGTATTGTTTTGGAGGCTGTCCTGGAACTAGCTCTGTAGACCAGGCTGGCCTCGAACTCACAGAGATCCGCCTGCCTCTGCCTCCCAAGTGCTGGGATTAAAGGCGTGCGCCACCAACGCCCGGCCTGTCTCTGTCTCTTGAATGCTGAGATTAAAGGTGTGTACCACCACCCCTGGCTTTCTTTTTATTTTATGTTTGAGTGTTTGCCAGAATGTGTGTCTGTGCTAAGGAAAATGAGATTACCTAAGATCAGCACAGACCCTCCCATGAGGCCTTCAGGATAAAGTGTAACAGGGTACTACATGTAAGTGACAGAAACCAGAAGCTGAAGCTAAAGATAAGAGAACAAATGCTAAATTCAGAGAGGGACCAGAGCGCCTGGAGGGTCAAAAGAAATGGTGATGCACGCCTTTAATCCCAGCACTCGGGAGGCAGAGGCAGGCGGATCTCTGTGAGTTCAAGGTCAGTCAGGGTGGACAGGGACATAGCTGGACTGCCAATGGAGTGAGGAGGCGGGACCTGCTGGAAGGCATGTTCAGTCTTGGAAGCAGAGGCCTCAAACACAGACTCTGACGTTAAACTAACACCTGCTCATCTGCAACTACTGTAGTAGGCGCCTCAGATGAACTCGGAAAGAAAAACTACTGCAAGGCTTGGTAGTGCATGCCTCTAACCCCAATGTTCACACAGTGGGTCACGGAGCATTGCCACAAGCTTGACACCAGTATGGTGGGCTACTTGGTGAGTTTCAGGGTAGCCAGGGCTACAGACTAAGACCCTATCTCAAAAAATAAAATGGATAAAATTAAATAAAAAGAAAGAAAAAGGAGCAAGGGAAAAAGATCTTTGTTTTTAGGGCAGTTCTTCAGAGTAAAACTTGAGGGAAGCAAGTCATGACAACAGGGAATTAGTGGAGAGAAACTAACTAACAAGACCTTTGGGGTTCAGAAACAAGGCACTTCATGAACAAGAGGGGAAAAATTCTTGTGCAACATGATAAAGGGAAACCAGGATTTGAAACAGCCGGTCAATACTTTGCTACAATGTAAGTGCACTTCATCCAGAGTAACTGGAGTTATGTGGGTCTGTGGATACCTCCAAAAACATCTGCCTCATCTGGCAGCTTGCCAGCACTGCTGCCTAGCACACCAGGCCCGCCTAGGGCAGTGGGCCCAGGAACACTGCTGTCAGTCCCATGGAGGAAAGACAACTGGGGACAGTGCGGATGAGCATGCTTCCAAATCCCCCTTGACTGAATGAATCAGCTGTTCAAGAACCCTGAAGGAAACGGCTTAAACCTAGCATGAAAGTGACAGAGGTGTCTTCATGGTACTTGCTGACAAAACAACATGTGTGTTTCTTTCTTTCTTTCCTTTTTCCTTTCTTTCTTTCTCCCCCCCTTCTCCTTCTACAGGATCTATGTAATCCATGCTGGCCTTGAATTTACTACATAGTGGCTGAGGATGACCATGAACTTCTGATTCTCCTGCTTCTATTTCTTAACTTCTGCCATCTCCCTAGCCCGTGCCTCTATTTCTTTTTTTTTTAATTAATTTATTTATTATGCATACAGTATTCTGTCTGCATGTATGTCTGCAGGCCAGAAGAGGGCACCAGATCTTATTACAGATGGTTGTGAGCCACCATGTGGTTGCTGGGAACTGAACTCAGGACCTCTGGAAGAGCAGCCAGTGCTCTTAACCTCTGAGCCATCGCTCCAGCGCAACCCCTCCATTTCTTGAGTGTTGAAATTATAGGAATGTGTCACCACGACCAACTATGATTTGAAAATTCTATTCCTCTAGCAAACCCTTTCTGGAATGAAGCAGAGAATAAATAGTGGTAAATTCTGTGATGTGATCACATTTATCAATTCTTCAAACCTCTGCCTTTTAGTTTTTGTTTCTTCAGTGCTAGCGATTGGAACCAGTTAGATAACACATTCAACATAAACTCAAGCCAGTGAGATGGCTCAATAGGTAAAGGCGCTTGCCACCAAGCAGGACACCTGAGTTCAGTCCCAAGGACCCACAGGTGGATGGAGAGACCAATTCCTGTAAGTTGTCCTTCAATCTCCATATGCTATGATCTCTCCCATGTTCTGTCATGGCCCATGCTTGAAGCTTAACTCAAAATAAACAAAACCTTCTTAAATTTCTATAAATCAAGCCAAGGAAGGTGGCACCCGTCTTTAATCCCAGCACTTAGGAGGCGGAGGCAGGTGGTAAGGATAGTATGGTTTATAGAATGAGTTCCAGGACAGCCAGCAGCCAAAGAGAAACCCTATTGTGAAGACAAAAACAATTTTTTTTTATAAATCACATTCACAGAATGTTCTAGGAACTTATTCTAAGGAAATAACAAATTCGTACAACATGCATACACAGATAAGTGTGTCTGCAAGTGTGCATGTGTGTGCACACCAACTCAGAAGGGCGCTCAAGCTCTGGGATGCTGTTTAGCTGGTAGATCACTTGCTTAATATGCAGGGGGCCCTGGTTTGACCCCCAGTATTGCACACAGGCAGGTGTGGTGGGGTACACTTGTAATCCCTACATACACAAGACAAAGACAGGAGGGTCAGTTCAGGGTCATCTCCAGCCACATAGCAAGTTTGAGGCTATACTGGGATGCATTTGATCTTATTTAAATAAAAACAAAGAAAGATGTTCATAATTCATTTTGAGTAAAAAAGATGATATATTTGCCAGGCAGTGGTGGCGCACACCATTAATCTCAGCACTCCAGAGGCAGAGGCAGGTAAATCTCTGTGAGTTCAGGAGGCCAGCCTGGTTTACAAGAGAAACCCTGTTTTGAAAAACCAAAACACAAAATAAAGCAAAAAACAAAACAAAACAAAAAAACCAAAAAGGAAAAAAAATCTATACTATATATATATATATATATTTTTTTTTTTTTGGTTTTTCGAGACAGTGTGTGTGAGTGAGTGTGTGCATGTGTGTGAGTGAGTGTGAGTAAACCTGGAGGACAAGTTCTCTCTTTCAGCACGCAGGTCCCAGGGACTGAACACAAGTTGCCAGGTTTGGCAGTAAGTACCCTTATTCACTGAAGCATTTCACCGGCTGCTATGTTCTCTAGTTTCTCAACTTTTCTTATGTTTCCTTTCTAAACTGACTATAGTAACAAACACCTAGTGTCTTTTCAAATATTTAACAAAAATAGAGTAAGGGTATGCTTTCAGAGAGTAAAATCAGCCATCTACAGTACATCAAACGGAGGCTGAAGGGCGTTGCGGGGTGCCGAGTTCCAGAGCGCTGAGTTCCAGAGAGGCTCACTCTGTCTGCGTAGTCCCAGCCTCCACTGCAGTCTCCGGCAAACTCGGTCTATTGCTAGTCCTCAGCCCCTAGCCCTTCTCTTCCTGGAAGAGATCCCGACACACTAATGTGTGTTTTCAGCCTTGTAGGCTAGAGTGCTGTAATTTGCTCCTCCTTGGGCTATACATTAAATTTGTTCAGAAGCTGTAAAATTGCTCATTTGGTAGCAGTTGAAATGACTTTTCTGCAGAGTTGGGAATCACTAAGACTCACAGGCTGGGAAGTGCACAGTCTGCAACCCTGACACCAGGGGCTTACCACAGCCATGGACAGAAAATGCCAAGACCGGTTTGCTGAAACCTCCAATGCTCATACTGTTTAAGATTAACAGGCTGAGCCGGGCGTTGGTGGAGCATGCCTTTAATCCCAGCACTTGGGAGGCAGAGGCAGGAGGGTCAGAGTTGGAGGCCAGCCTGATTTACAGAGCAAGTTCCAGGACAGTCAAGGATACACAATGAAACCCTGTCTTAAAAAGTAAAGGAAGGTGCTGGAAAGAGGCTCAGAGGTTAAGAGCACTGGCTACTGGCTGCTCTTCCAGAGGTCCTGAGTTCAATTCCTAGCAACCACCTGGCAGCTGACTACCATCTATAGTGAGATCTGGTGCCCTCTTCTGGTGAGTAGGCATACATGCAGACAGAACACTATATACATGATAAATAATTTTTTTAAAAAATTAAATAAATAAAAATAAAACCAACAAACCATTTTTGGTTTTGTTTTTAATTTGAAAAACTGATATACAGATGGGCATCATGCTGCAGGCCTATAATCAGGGGACTAAGGAAGCTAAGATAGAAGGAACTTCAGTTGGAGACTAGCTTTGGCTATACTTGAGTTCAGGGGCAGGCTGAGCTATATAGTGAGGCCTTGTCTTAATGAATAAGCAAATCTCCCTCCCCTCCCTCCCCCCAATAAACTTTCCACATTAAAAAAAAAGAATAGGGCTGGAGAGATGGCTCAGTGGTTAAGAGCACTGACTGCTCTTCCAGAGGTCCTGAGTTCAATTCCCAGCAACCACATGGTGGCTCACAACCATCTACAGTTCAATCTGGTGCCCTCTTCTGGCATGTAGGCAGAACACTGTATATGTAATCAATAAATAAATCTTTAATAAAAAAATTGGTGTGTTTCATTCAGGATACTTTTCTTCCTTTAAAAAATTGTTTTTGAGATTTTTTTTTGGTTTTTCGAGACAGGGTTTCTCGTTTTTGAGATTTTTTAAGAATTCTTTAAAATTTTTTTTATTTTAAGTATGAGTGCTTTGTCTGCACGTAGGCCTACATGCTGGAAGAAGGCATCAGATCTCACTATAGAAGCTTGTGAGACACCATGTTGTTGCTGGGAATTGAACCCAGGTCCCCTGGAAGAGCAGCCTGTACTCTTAACCTCTGAGTCATCTCTTTAGTCTGAGGTTTTATTTTTATGTGTATGGGCGTTTTGAATGCATGTATCTCTTTGCACTCCATGCATGCAGCATCCAAAGAGGCCAGAAGAGGGCAGTGAATCCCTGGGTCTGGAGTTTCAGATGGCTGTGAGCTTCCATGTGGGTGCTGGGACCTCTGGAACAGCAGCCTGAGCCATGACCCATCTCTCCAGCCTCTTTTTGTTTTCTTGTATACTTTGCTTGTGTCTGCTTCATAACTAAAGATAAAATCTTTTTTATTTTGGTGCTGGCCACAAGCATTCAAGGCAAGAATTCTATAACTGACTAGGGCCTTTGTTTAGAATGTATTTACGTGCCGGGCGTTGGTGGCGCACGCCTTTAATCCCAGCACTCGGGAGGCAGAGGCAGGCGGATCTCTGTGAGTTCGAGGCCAGCCTGGTCTACAGAGCGAGTGCCAGGACAGCCTCCAAAACTACACAGAGAAACCCTGTCTCGAAAAACCAAAAAAAAAAAAAAAGAAAAGAAAAAAAAAAGAAATGTATTTACGTGTACTTGCGTGCCTTCAGGAGTTTATGTGCACCACATACATGTAGGTGCCAGCAGAGACCAGAAGGTGGCGTCGAATGCCCTGCAACTGGAGTTACTGGCAGCTGTGAGCCGCCATGTGGATACTGGGAACTGAATCCAGGTCCTTAGTAAGATCCTAAGTGCTCTAACACTGAACCATCTCTCCAGCCCTATTTTTTGGCTTCTTTGAACCAGGCTCTCAGTGCTCTGGAGCTCATTATATAGACCAGAATGGCACAAATTTACAGCGATCTTCCTCCTCCAGAGCTACAAGTGTCTGCCACTGTGCCTGGCTAAATCTTTACTTTTTTTCTTTTTCTTTTTTTTTTTTTTGAGACATTCTCTGAAGTCCATGCCGACCTAGAATTTACTATGTGGCCAAGGACTGTTAAGTTCCTGACACTCCACCTCTGTCTTCCTAGTGCTGGAATTACAGGTGTTTACCATCATATCACACTTCATAATTTACGTCATGTACCACGCTCTGGTGTGGGGGTGTCTAAGTAGTGATCATTTAGGCCTACAGAAAATGATTGGAAAAAATGTGTATGTATATTTAAAATTGTGGTAGGATATACATGGCATATTAATAGCTTTTTAATCTCCTAGAACTGGGGCTGTCCTAGAACTCACTGTTTCTTCCTCCTGAGGGTTGGGATTAAAGGCATATACCTTTAATTTCTTCTCTTTCTTCTTCTTTTTTTGATTAACCATTTTAAAATGTAAAGTTTGGTAGCATTCAGTACATTTACACCATTTGCATCTACCCCCAGAATGGTTTTCCTCTCACAAAACTTGTCTCTACACATTGGGCAAAGCTTCCTGTTATCCCATCCCTGCTCCATGACCACTGCTGTCCTTCCTACCTCTGCGAGTTGGACTATTCTGTTTCTGGTTGTGAGCCTGGTTTTTAACAGCTGAGCCATCTCTCCAGCCTGAGTTGGATTACTCTAACTACTTCACATGCATGGGCTTTCTTGTCTATGTATGTGAAATCTGATTATTCTTAGACAATATAGAATTTCCTCAAAAGCAAACCTTAGCAGTGTATAAATTTCTACCTCCCACACATAGTAATGGTTTAACAGTCAGCTTGACATATTCTAAAGACACCCAGGAAGAGTATCACTGAGGGACTGTCTTGATCAGGCTGGCCTATGGGCACATCCAGGAGGGTCTGTTATAATTACATTAACTGACGTGTTCTATAGGGAGGGGCTTAGTACAGGTAGGCACTTGGCAGCATCTGCTCTCTCTCTCTGCTCTCCATTGTGGATGTGTGACTCCCTGCCTCACGTTCCTGCCTTGACCTCCTTGCGATGATGTTCTACAACCCGGAAATGTGCGCTAAAATAAGCTCTCTCTCTCCCAAGTTGCTTTTAGTCAGGGCATTTGATCACAGCAACAGACACGAAACTGGGCCAGCTATTTCCATCTTCCTTGGCTGACACCGCCCCTGGAGCCAAGGGAGTGCTCACCTGTGTAGGTGTGATGTGGCTGATGTCTTCAGATGCAAGCTGCTTCAGCAGAGTCGTCTTGCCAGCATTGTCCAAGCCCAGGAGAAGGATTCGCACCTCCTGGTCTGGTGCACTTTTCAGTTTGCGCAAAATAGAGAGCAAGCCCTTGGACAATCATGAAAGAGAGGGGTTACTGGGGGCGGTGACGCTGCTGTCAGCAGACATCAGAACGACTTCCTGAACAAGGCTCTCGGTCATGGAGAGCCTATTACTTCCCACTCTCATGCCATTTGTCCCGCTTACTCCTTCCTTCCAGGTTCTAGCCCAAGTGTAGGAAAATGCAGCAATCTGGTAAGCAGCAAGGCTTATAGTCATCCCAGATCTTCTGCAAGTGCGAAGTGCCATCCACCCATTTCCTCAAGCCCTGATGGACACTTACTTAGACCAGAATGCTTACCATTTTAGACTAAGTCACTGCTCACATTTCCCCATCACCAGAGCGAAGCCTCTTGCCATGCAGTTACGAGAATTACCCACCCAAGTTAGTACAGGACTCTAAGGTGGTGATTGTGCTAACAGGCCTCACGCAAACATTGTATGCATTCCTAAAACCTGCTGGACTCTTGGGAATGGTATGGCAAGCAACATCCTCCCAAAGTGACTCTGTGTAAGAAGGGCAAAGATTCTGTGTGCTAGGGAGAGTGACGTCAGGACAGCAAGCAGAGTGACTACTAAGGTGGGCACACCAAGCCTGTTCCCAGCAGAAAGGCTCACCTACAGAGGACACGGCTGAGGTTGGAGCTCACAGAGCTCCACTGTAGGTCTGAGAGAACCCTGGCTACTAATAGAAATTAAAGATGGTGAACCGGGAGGCGATGAGAGAGAAGGGGCCAAGTGATGCAGACCAAAGCCCAGCTCCTATGACGATGCTAAGGTCACAAGAGTTAGTCACTTAAAACAAGACTCGTTTTTTCAAGTTTTCCAGGCAGGGTTTCTCTGTGTAGCCCTGGCCATCCTGGAACTACCTCCGTAAAGCAGGCTGGTCTCGAACACACAGAGATCTGTCTGCCTCAGCCTCCAGAGTGTTTTTTTTTTGGGGGGAGCATTAAGACAGGGTTTTTCTGTGGCTTTGGAAGCTGTCCTGGAACTAGCTCTTGTAGACCAGGCTGGTCTTGAATTCATAGATCTGCCTCTGCCTCTGGAGTGCTGGGATTAAAGGTGTACGCCACCGCCGCCCGGCTCCAGAGTGTTTTCTAAGGCATTGTGCAAAGACATAATTAGGCTGCATGAAATGGTAGCTGCCCTCTACACTTAGGCTCTATTTGTTTCAATTTATGTTCATGACTTCATCTTTACAGGATAGTAATATAGGTTATCCCTGTTTTTCAGATGAAAAATCAGATGTAAGCATTAGGGAATTAATTATAAAAGGCATTCGTGATCATGATTTAATCAGTGTTTAAGTATTATTATTTTTTATTATTTATTTTGCTGTTTAAGATAGGTTCTTCTAGCTGTCTTAGAACTCTCTTTGTAGACCAATCTGGCCTCAAACTCAGAGATCTGCTGGCCTCTGCTTCCCAGATGTGGGGGCTAAAGGTGTGAATCACATATTTTTAATTATATGCATCCAAGTGTATCTGTGCGTGAGTATACGGACATGAATGTAGGTACCTGTGGAGGCCAGCAGGAGTCAGATCTCCTGGAGTTTCCAGGTCATTTATGTGTGTGATCCAAGAGTGCCCTTAAACCCTGAGCCACCCGTCAGCACTGAACCCAAGGCTGTGGCCGTGCCACTGACGTATTTCCTCAGCCCCTAAGCCTGTTTTCTTACCAAAAAGGTGAGAAAACTTTTATGTGCTATTTATCTGTCCTGTCCTGCAGCTGAAGATCCCAGAGCAACAAGACACAGGCCAGAAAGAATCAAGGGCCAGGCATGTTGGTGCTCATCTTTAATAATTCCAGCATTCACGAGACAGAGGCAAGCAGATTGCTGCTGTGTGATTCCCGCCTGTCATAACTACTACTAATATATATATATTATACATATACATATATATTTACAGAATGACATCCCCATCATCTGTCTAAAAAGAAAGGTTTCAACATTAACACATTCAAATTATATTTAACAAGACAGTGATCAAGTAAGAACTATAGTTAAAATATTTAGTCCATTAAGGTTTAGCAGGATTTAAAGGAAGTATTCTATCATCTATCCTATATTTGTGAGTCTAAAGTCTTATATGTAGCTTATCTTTTATCATCACTAAGGAAAACTATAACCAAGACTCATGCGGCCTCTCCATGTGATCCCAGGAGGAGAGGACACATGAGTCTGGCGTTCTCGGTAAGATAAGACCATATATATAGGGGGCTGGAGAGATGGCTCAGAGGTTAAGAGCATTGACTGTTCTTCCAGAGGTCTTGAGTTCAATTCCCAGCAACCACATGGTGGCTAACAACCATCTACAATTCAATCTGGTATATATGTAATAAATAAGTACATCAAAAAAAAGACCATATATATATATATATAGTTATGGGTTAATACTTAAGACAGAACTAGCCAATGAGAAGTCGTAGACATTGGCCAACAGCATTGTAACTAGTAGAGTCTCTGTGTGTTATTTGGGGGCTCTGAAGCTGTGATGGGACCCAGGCAGGAATCCTGCAACAGATTGTGGTGAGTTCAAGGCCAGCATGGTCTTCATAGTGAGTTCCAGGACAGTCAGGGCTACATAGTGAGATCCTGTCTCAAAAAGCAAACAAAGAATCAAAACATGGCTTTTTTTTTTTTTTTCTGAGACAGGGTTTCTTTGTGGCCTTGGAGGCTGTCCTGGAACTCACTCTTGTAGACCAGGTTGGTCTCTAACTCACAGAGACCCACCTGCTTCTGCCCCCTGAGTGCTGGGATTAAAGGCATGCACCACCACCGCCCAGCTAACATGGTACAGTTTTAAGGGCATATAATCTAATCCCAGCCAAAGTAGAGGTTCCTTCAAGCTGAGTCTTAGAATTTAGAATTACATAAAAAGGTTGTGTTTGCTATTCATACTTCACTGGGCAAAGATTCAAGACATCTTGTTGATGAAGATCAAATAATATTTCTGTGAAATAACTCTCAGCAGTTAGGTATTAGGACAATGACATGGAAATAAGCAGGCAGATAGCTCCGTCTCCTTTGTGGCCCACTGAGGACCACATTGGCTGCTCTAGGCCTCGGGTTTTTTCAGCAGTAAGATGGAAAATTTAGTCTAAGACAGACAAATGTTATACCAAAGGTACAGGACACAATCCGAATAAAATTGAAACTAACAAAAGACAAACAGTACTTTTTGTTGTTATTTAAGGAAGGGCATAGTTTTGCTTCTATTTTCATCTCATTTAGCCTTGGAGACTTCGATTCCATTCCTTCTTCAAGCTGTATTTATGAGAAGTCTCCTGGGTTACTATTGGCTGGAAACACTTGACCTTCATTTAACTTTTATAGGAACCTAGCCGGGCATTGGTGGCGCGCACCTTTAATACCAGCACTCGGGAGGCAGAGGCAGGCGGATCTCTGTGAGTTCGAGGCCAGCCTGGTCTACAGAGCGAGTTCAAGGCCAGCCTCCAAAGCCACAGAGAAACCCTGTCTCGAAAAAAAAAAAAAAAAAAACTTTTATAGGAACCTGAACAGGAGGGTTACAGAGTATAGACTAGCTGTTCCAGAAAAAACTAGACACAAAGTATTCATAATCAACATCTCAACAAAGTTGTCTCTCCATTTTTTATTAGTTATACTGAAACCATTCATTTACAATGCACCTTCTCAGACCCCGAAGGCCAGGCATATAAAAGGACCAAGAAAGGGGGAAAACATTGACTTACTCATCCTGAGTCCCTGACTGGATACAGGAAGAGTCTCATTAGCTACTAAAATATACCCAAAAATCAAATTATCATACTAAATGCCACAGGTAAAACTCTACCTAGAGTAGAAACTGTCAAGGAAGAATAAATATTATTTATTATTTACACAGTTTAAAATTAGCATTTTCAGTTTTCATCAAGTGTCTCCTCAACTAAGAAATCACTGAATAGGACCAGAGAGGTGGGCAGAGCTGAGAGAATACACTGCTCTTGCGGGGACCCAGGTTCGAGTTTTGCACCAATGTGGGTTGGCTTCAAGCTGCTTGCAACTCCAGTCCCAGCAGGATCTGAGGGCACCTGCATCCATGCACAAAACCACATGGAGGCACCCACACACCCACACAATTAAACAAGCAAAAACTAAATATTCAACAAGGAAAGAAATCACTAGATACATATACCACTGCCTGGAGATCAAGTTTTTCTTACCTACTCAGAACGTCAGAAACTGAGCAATTAAGGAAGAACACAGATTCTTTGTTGCAGCATCCCACTGAAGAGACAGGACTCCCTCCTCAGGAGACGGGCTGAACCCGGGCTTTGTACGTGTCAGGTGGGCATGCTACTGCAGGCTTCAACCCTAGTCCAGCATTTATTTATTTTGTTTTGCTTTGAGAGTGGGTTTACTATGTAGCCCTGGCTGGACTCAACAGGAATCCTGCCCCCACTCCTGGGTGCTGCTGGGATTAAAAGTGTGCACCACCACCACACCCGTCCCTGCCCCTCTTACTTTCTATTCATTAAAGGAGTATGACACAGGGAAGAAAGAAGTCTTTCTAACTATGGGCACTTTTTCTCAACCTAACAGGACAGACTACACACTTTTTTTTTTAGTTAATTTATTTTTATTTTATATGCATTGGTGTTTTGTCATGGATGTCAGGTCCCCTGGAACTGGAGTTACAGACAGTTGTGAGCTGCCGTGTGGGTGCTGGGAATTGAACCCAGGTCCTCTGAAAGAGCAGTCACTACTCTTAACCACTGAGCCATTTCTCGGCCCCATATACTTTTAGTTTCTAATGAACAATCTTCCTTATAAGGCAGTAATATCAGATGCCTCACCCATAAGTGAAATGACACAAAAAGAAAAAGTTCAGCTAACATTTTCTTCCTTCCAATAAAACAATAAATGGCACCTCAAGCTGAACCCAGGGTTCACAGGATTACCAGGGTCTGCTAAGTAGGGAGAAGATATTTATAGCTGGCAGGGTTCTGCCCGAAAGGTACAGGGTAAGCGGATTTAAGAGGCTAGA